AAATACAAAACCGAGTTTCTAAAGTGAGTAGATCTGAAAAGACATCTTCCCAGCACTGCGGTTCACTCTCTTGGAAGACAAAGTTCTGTCCTCCCCGGCCTACTAGCCACATTTGGTGTTCTCAGGTACCTTTTAGTAAGATTCACATGTGTGAATTCCCTGAGGTCACCTTCCCCTTGAGTCTCCAGAACTGTCATTAAAACAGTTCTGTTGGTGGGGATTCACTTTTAAAGCAAAGACTATATTATCCTCAAGTGACTTTTTTCTTAATGTTCTTCAAAGACGATACAGTAGAGTCAGGAGCTGAATTGCTTCCAAATAACTGAATGTAAAACCCATCGCCACCTGTTGAAATCCATACAATTTACTTCCAGCATCTTCCTGTAAAAGTGGAGGCAGATACTCTGACCATTTTTTGTATTCTCCCAGGAACCCTGCAGAGGACTGTAGTTGCAGCTGTGTTGCTGCTGGTCATATCCTAGCCCTCCCTTAAACAAGAGCCACTGTTGGCTACTGATGTCCCTTCCTGTAGGAAGAGGTAGAAGGCCTGCAATACCCTGGGAGTGGCTCTGGATGTAGGCTGCCTGCCAAGCAGGCAAGAAGCCCTCACCTCAGTCCTCAGCAGTACATAAACCAAGTGTGGCACACACCTGTAACTCCAGCGATTAGGAAGTGGAGGCAGGAGGATCAGAAGTTAAAGGTCAGACTTGGCTACATAGTGAATTTGAGAGGATCCTTGAGTACCTGAGACACTAACATAAGTGTGTATATGTATGTTTGTGTGTGTGTGTGTATAGATATATATACAGAGCTGTGTAATGGATACATGGGGTAGATAATGGAGAATTTAGCCATTTTAGAGCACCGAGAGTGGTGATTAGACCTGTGTGCACCAACTCTCGGAGCACACACTAGCAGCTGCCTGCAGCATTAACACCCCCTGGGTACCTTTCTTTACCTTGTTTACTAAATGTGTTGGCACCCTAACATTTGACCGTGGAGCACTGGTTTTCCCTTCTTACTATTTATAGGGTTCCTTTTTATCACAGGCCTTTTCATAAAGACAAACTATAGAAATTAAACGTGTCCAGCTGTCTTCTAAGCCCTCTTGATTGCTCAGGCAACAGAATTTTAATATCTGCAATAGATGGAGACTTAACTATCAAGGGTAGCTAGTGTTCGTCGACCTGGTAGGGAAACTGCTTTTGACTCCATGTATCTAGGTTACACAGACCCAGGCTTACAGGGTGCTTGTTCCCAGTCATTAAAGTGGTCCGAAAAAGCAAATTATTGATGGTGTGACTTGTGGGTTTTTTTGTTTTGTTTTAATAAAAATGAAAACAACAGATCAGAGAAAACCTGTTGGAACTCTGACACAGATCCTGCACCAAGCACTTCCACCTTCCACCAGGGCTCCTGGAGTTCAAGTTGCTTCCCATCGTGATACTTAAAATGACTTTGGATCCCTGTGAAGCAGCTCTTTGAGCCATTCATTTGAAAATCTAGATAGCAAGTGATGGTTTTAAACTTGACAACATTGTTTTTCGTAGACCAGCAGTGAGTGTAGTTTTCAGCCACATACAGTTTTTGAATTGTAGCAAAAGTTGATTCTTTTACAAAAATCATTGAGAGTCATGTGTTTGTTACAGCATACTTGGAGGTACTTTAAACTAGCATGTAGAAACCTAGCCTGGAACTAGGCTAATAATAAAAATTATTATGAAGGCCTTTATTGCAAAAATGGAAGGGGGTGTTCAAGGTTTATTATAAGCAATTTGGAAAGAAAAAAACCTAAGGTGCTTTTCAAAAGAATAACTGAGATGGTTCTGGGCTAAAACAGCAATACTGTGTTTCCTATGCGTTCAGTAAGAACAGTGGCACTGTCGTTTCCCTAATACATTGAGGAAACTTACGGTGAAAACAGTGTAACGTGTTTTCCTGAGCCACCATGGAAAGAATCTGCTCATTACTAAGACAACATGTGCACTTCTATGCATAAACTATTAGCTGTGACTGCTGCCATTGTGTTTTCATACAGGTCTAACGATAGAATGTGGTCTAGACACGGGGACAAAAGTTACCTTCTTCCCTCTGGGAACACCAATGAGCACAATGGTGTTAGTCAATTAACTTTTCTGATGAATAATAAATGCAATAACTGCAGCTCATGGATGAGAAACTGTCTGTCTGTCTAAATACTCAAACTTTTAAATACCATAGTTGTATCAGTGATCAGTTATATTGATGTAAGATTGTTTGTACCTTCCTACTCTTGAGAACTGATGGGTTTAATACCAAATGCTGCTGATTAAATGAAAAAGCCTGCCTTTTAAGTAATGTGTTTTATCAGTAAGAGTGAACTCTCTGACTTTTTAACATGACTAGAGTCTCACTATCAACATGTACATCTTTTATTCCCCCTTTGCCTCGTCTTGTAGGTTCCTCGATTTTGGTATCTGGGGAGGACTTGTCCACTCCAACTGCAGATAAGTCCTGTTTTAACTCTCCCACCCAGCAGAGAAGCAATGCATTCCCACTTCAGACCTCTGCTGTTGTTCAGCTATCCTGACAGCATTTACTCCTAGACCTGCAGTCCTGAATTCAGAGCTTAGGGTCACACAGAATCCAGATGTTCCAAATGCGCATTGGTCTGTTGCACTGAGGTTTCTGCTGTCAAAGAAAGAAAATTTGTTAATGATACCCAAGTTTTAAATGCAGGGGTGTTTACGTTTCTGAGTAAAATTTGTGTACTTATGGGAAATAAAGGCATGTTAAAAATTATATGGAAATAATGTTGGTTATTACAAAGTGGAAAAGGGAAACATTACCTGCAATAACTATATTTTAATTATTGTTAAAAACTCACAGTTTATTTCATAACGTATCGTGCCAAAAGCCAGTTACCTACAGATTTCCAAAGACCAAGAAGTGGTATAAACTTAAATTACTTTATTTTCCTGAGAGAGGTCTGTGGAACACGGTGACTGAAAACACATCTGAGAATACTTAATGTCTTAATTACACTATTTTACTGTAACACAGGCCATTCTTGTATTTAACCTAAAGAAAATAACAAGAAAACAAAGTTAACTTTTATCCTAAATGAAAAAATATCTTTAAGTATTTTCATCTCTTGGTCTTGTCTTTCCTTACGAATTTGATGGTGGTTTGAACTGGCAGCGTTTCAGGCATCGGCACCTACCCGCGTCCACATACACATTGAAGTTTTACAACAGTTGAGAAACGTTTATAAAATAATTTACCTTGATCACATTAGCAGAATATGGAAATTAACCTGGCTTGAGAACATTAGACTTAATCAACAGTTCATACAAATCAAACCCTCACAGAGGCATGACTCTTTAAGTAATCTCTCTCCACAAAACAAGCTGAAACATTTATAGTATTATCCCTTAAAGTACAGGGGGAAGAGATTAAAGGAACCAAATTTGCCTTTCTGTGCTGATTTCATGGGCAAACTTTTTAAAACACATTGAAAATTGAGCTGAAAACTTTTAAGCTAAGAACCCTGGTTAAAGATGTTGACTGACCTGCTGTGTGATACTCTGGGGGCCAAAGCCACAAGGCTGGCCCTGAGCAAACAGGTGTGCTAATTTCTTAGGGCTTGTTGGTGAGGTTTGCCACCACACCAATGCGAAACTGATCACATAATCCATGGGTGTAGCATGGAAAGTTCTTGTTTTCTTTAAATGGCATTCACCCTTGCTTTTAAAAACATGACTTAAGTGGTCTTGATTGGAGATGCTGTAAAATTAAAGTTTGAAAAGATAGTTAAAAACTAAAAAATGTTGGTGTACTAGATCCTTAAATAAAGTTCCTCGGAAGAGAAGTATTTGTTTAAAAGTAGCCATAATGTAGCATTACTTTATAGTTGGCAACGGTGGGTAAACAGTGGCAATACTCGTGACAGTTGGCAAGCTGAATTCGGTGGGAAAGTATAAGACAAGGAAAACATCCCATGCCTAGGCTTAGAAATGTCTATTTAGGAGTTCTGGGTAGAAGTTTCTGTATCCTTGAAGTGGGGATAAAGGTAAAACAGAAGCAGGGGCAAGCTTTCTTGATGAGACTGAACTGATTACTGGACATAAGTATTTAGGTGCTAATTCTCAGAGTAAAGATGCTAATAACAAAGACACAATCTATTCGCTTCATGAGATTCTTGTTTTGTGTTTATAACAAAATCACAAAAGGTTTCCGGAAGAAGAAACCTTACACTGTATTACTTTGCAAACCATTATCTGGTGTTTTGGGGGAGGCTACTTTTAAGTTTAGATTGCGTTGGAGTTTTGCAGGTTGGTGTTCACCTATCTTACCTAGCAAGCTATTTTGAGAGACACTTCTAGATCCACCAAACTTGTAACAAATGATCCTTCCAAATATGGTCAGTCATCTGAGAAGCCAGGCCTGGAGAGAAATGAGTCCTGGGGTAATTCCTGCAACCACCCATTAATGTTGTCATCAGCAATGTCTGAGCAATTTTGATCTGAAAGAATGATAGCTCTCTGAAAAAGTTTTCTGTGGTCGTAAGATTAATCCTGGAAACCCAAAAGTCATTTCCAATTTGACCATGCCGCCACACTTTCCTCAAAGCCACAACTTGACTGAGCCCCCAGGCCGTGGTCAGAGTTCTGAATGCCGCTCTGAAGTTGTCATCTCCCAGCAGGCACTTGTTTGTCAGTGTTTATTTTCCGGAGCCCACTCTGGAGCAGAGAGAAGCTATAGGCTGTTACACGGGACAGAACAATGAGTCAGGAGGCTTTTACACTGATTCAAGGGGGAAATCCCTGAAAACTAGCTATGAAAACTAGCTTATGAATGGAGACTAGAGTGAGACTTGGTGTCCACAGGCTAGCAAGGCAGCATGGAGGTCCTATGCTAGCCCCCCGGCTAGCGTAGTCTTATGGCCATAGTTCACAGACGAGAACTGCTGTTCCAGTTCCACCCAGTAGGTACCTCGTAAATGACTTCTGCAGCAAAAATATTGTTGAAAAGTATTTATTTACACCATAGTCATAAACCATCCATTATCTGAACTCCAGTTAGTGGCTTTATGTTAGAATAGATTGTTTATTTTTCCACAACTATTAAGAGCTAGTAAACAAATCAGCTGCGTGACATTATGCACATTCTCATCTGAAATTTGACTACAAAGGGAACACTTTTTAAGTCACAAAACAGAGCATACAAAAATATACTTTCTAAAAAAATTCCAAATATTAATAGGCAGAAATATACAGCCGTACTTCAACCCAGGGAATGATTTCTTTTTCCATAGTAAGGCCTCCTGCATACATGCAGACCCTGTAACACTGCCCACATCACACAAGGCACAGAGGACACCTTCCAACACAACTGCATGCACCCTATGTACATCCCCCTTTAAATAAGTTAACCTTTGACTCATTTCAAGAGATCATAAATGCTTTACATTTTTTTCCCGAAGGTTCAGAACTCGGAGTGAACAGTGCACATCAAAAATACACAAAATCTGAATGGATATACACTGAAAAAATAATCTTTGTTTCTCAACAAAAAGGAGCCAATATTGCTTTGTCCCTCCCGTCATTGCACTTTCGTTCTCTGAGTTTTTAGTACATATTGCTTAAGGGTTGAGACGGCTAAATACCCTTCAATTCACTGTTCTTGGGTCACGGAGTGCCGCAGCCGAAACCAGGCTCCTCTCACTGGAGCTTCCCCCAAATTAGTTCCAAGCCATAAAGTGCAATGTCAGTTTTCCTTAGTCTTTTTTGCTGTCCTCACTCAAAGGAATCAGCATCTCCCAACCTATTTGTAGAAAAGGTCTCAGAAGAACTCTGGCATCCAGGGTCAAAATAAGGAAAGGACTAGCAAAACCTATGCGATGTCTCTCAGTCAGGATCAGATCACAGCCCTCTAGTGCAAGGGCCCTCACCCAGCCCTCTTCTTGGCTCCCCATTACTTGGAGTGGCAGTGAACTCCCCTAAGAGAGTAAAATGGTCTAAATTTTAGGAGGGTCCTGTGTCTGGAAAGGGGTGGGGGCAGGGCCGGGCTCCATCAAGGTCCTTTGCCCAGGATCACAGGAAGGGACAGGGATGGGTGATAGTGTTGTGCAGCTCAAGTGGACGGAGGGCCTCTGGGACCTGGGTGTGTCCGCCGGAGCTTCATCTCATGGTGTCCTGGTCCGAGAGGTGCAGGCCAGTGGTCCTCCAATGGTGCTGTTACCGCATAGGCTGCCTCCCGCCTGCGAGCCCCCAGGACCAGAGGCTGAAGGCTGGGCAGACACAGACGAAGAGGGGGCACTGCTCTTCCGCTCCTTCTGTCGAAGGTGGATCTTGGTGTGGCGCTTCCTTTCGTCACTCCTGGCAAACTTGCGGCCACAATAGTCACAGGCGAAGGGCTTCTCCCCCGTGTGGGTGCGGATGTGAGTGGTGAGGTGGTCACTTCTGCTGAAGTTTCGCATGCAGATCCGACACTGGAAGGGTTTGTGGCCCGTGTGGATTCGGATATGCCGGGTCAGCTCATCCGAGCGTGAGAAGCGCCTGTCACAGCCTTCTGCCGGACAGGGATAGGGCCTTTCGTGAACTGGCGTCTTGCTGGGCCTGTTCGGGTACTTTCGAGGCCGCAGGATGGGCCTCAATGGCAGGTGATGCGGGTTGTAGGGGGTAGTAGACACTGCTGCAGAGCCACTGCCAGGCAGTCGGGGTCCCTCACTGCCTCCACTTGCCCCTGGTCCCGTGACTCCAGCACTGGGCCCCCCCAGAGTAAAATTACGGATGGTAGAGAGTGGAGTGAGCGGAGGGGGGACCCGCAGGGAGTCCAGAGGGCAGGGAAATGGCTTTCGATCCGGGCCAGCAGCACCGTGTGGATCTCTCTGGCATGGAGATGGGAAAAAGCCAGGATATTCCGGGATCATGGGAATGAGACCTGGGTCCATGGCTGGCTTGGGGGATGGGTAGGAAGGAGGTGGCTGATAGGCCAGAGAGGAGGTGGAAGTGGTGGGTGGTGACAGGAACGCTGAAGGGTCCTGGTAGAGATCTCCTGTACAGCCCGTGTACGGAGGAGGAGGTGGCGGAGGAGAGTAGAGATGATCCAATTCAGGTTGGGTCTGGGACATGGTACACACGCCCAGGGGTCCTGTGGCCAATGGGTTGGGGGAGGCAGAGGTGACGCTGGATGAGGTTGTGGTTGAAGCTGGTGGGGTGACCCCTTGCAAGATGCCCGCACTCACAATATTGATGATGCCTTCTGGGTAGCAACTGGCACCAGGGTACTGGGGGTCAATGGAGAATTTGCCCATGTAAGTGAAGGTCTGGTTTCTAGGCGCAGAGATGGGAGCAAAGCTACTAGGGTATGGAAGATCCAAGGGCCTCTTCTCTCCAGTCATGTCAATGTTGATCATGCCATCTGGGGAAGGAAAAGGCAGGAAAGAGGTGGAACAATGAAAATGCAGCCAAGTGCCAATTCACACACGCGCGCGCACACACACGCAGCACGCACGCACACGGCCGTCCTCCTCGGTTCAGGATTCCAACAGTAAAGGAATATAACAAAATCCAACAGGTGGGGAAACTGAGGCTTGGAGACAGTTAAGAAGAAGTTAGCTAACGCCCGAGACTCAAAAACTATCTCCAAGAAAGTAGGACGTGCCCCTCCCCCTCCGTTCCCCAGCCATCTGTGGCTATAGTCCCCAATAAAAACACCCAATAATAGCAACAATATCAAACAATTTCCCATCTGCCTCGGACTCCTTTCCCAGTACTTTGCCTTGTGGTTCCACCGCCGAGGCAACGGTACAGACACCACTCAAGATCCGACCAATCATAGGCGATACAGAGAAAGTGCCAGCCGCGGGAGAGGGGAACCCCAGAACGGGTAAGTGGGTGGGTGATGTTCCCGCTGCTAATTCCTGGTGCCATCTCCCCCTCCCTCTCCCGCTGCGCTTCAGCTGACGACTGCCAGTGGGAACCCAGGCTGCGGAGGAAGGAGTCTAGGTTTCCCTTCCCTCACAACGTCCTCAGCCTTGCCCGACACCCGCGCGTCCCCGCCCCAGCCCAAGACTAGAGACCGGGCTTGGAGGAAAGCGCGGGGGCTGCGGTGGGGGACGACTTTACATAGCATCGTCACCGAGCCCGGCGCACACGGATGCCTGCGCTGGCCTCCCTAGGCAGTCTCAGGGCCACTTTCCGCTGCTTGCCCTGCTCCGTTATCCCTCTTCACTTTGGGGCGATGGGCAAGTAGGGTGGTGCCTCTCAGCCGCACCAGGAGAGCAAAGAGCTCCGAGACCCTCCCGGAGGGGGGCTCTTCCCAGAGAGCGCTACACGCGTGCTTCCTCAGCGCTCCCCTACCTCTTGGCTCTCCAGACGCACAGCTCTTCCCCGGACTCCCCAACTTTCCCATCACTTTAACCCTATCCCAGAAGCGCAGAGTCCGGCCAGTGGACTTGCTTCCAGCCTGGCAGCCCAGTAAGGGTGTGTCTTGAGCCCTGCGCCCAGTTGGGCGCGCAGAAGGCCACAAGCATGCCAGTTGCTTTTGGTGACCAGGTGCATCTCTGGCGCGCACAGCCCGCGCTCTAGTCCCTATTCTCTCCCGCTCCTCCAGCACTCACTTCCAATCTTCGGAGTCAGTGTGGTCAGAGCCCTCCACCACCGCAAGTCCCCATTCTTCCCTCCAAGTCCCGCACACCCACCGCTCCCCACCCACCAGCTCCAAAGAGGACACGAGGCTTACCTCCGGCCACTCCGTTCATCTGGTCAAAGGGAGCTCCCAGTTCAGCATTGGGGAAGATGGTCACCGACGAGGCGGCGAGGTCTTCCACCGGGTAGAGGCTGTCAGGCAGCTGGTGCATAAAACCACTGAGAGTTACTGGGATTTTGTCTACGGCCTTGGCGGTCATCATTTGCTCCTCGCACAACCTGGAGACCCAACTCCCTCGCTACCTGGAGTGCCAGAGAAGCCGTTTTTTGGAGAGGGGTTGGACTGAACCTGGGTTGGTATCTCCTTTTGCCCTCCACACTTAGAAAAGACCACCACCACACGCAAGAAAAAAAAAAGAAAAGAAAAAGAAAAGAAAGAAAAAAATCTAACCGATGTAAAACTAGCAAGCAAGTTGTTGGCTTCTTAAGAAGAAAAATAGCTATGGGCCACTGACTCTCTCCTGCCTGTGATCCGGCTGTTGGGGAGCCAGGAGTTGCTGGTGTAGTGTTATTATAACAGTCAGTGTGTCCCCTCGCCCAGCTATTTATCAATCGCTGCTCTCTCAGACGGAAAGTGTTAGGCTCCGAGAATTTATGGGCAGGTTTTCAAACCCGTGACGTCGCTGCCCATATATGGACTGAGGAACAGGGCTGGGCCAGGCAGCTTTAGCGGTCACATGGCTAATTTGCATACGGGCTTGGCAGCGCGGGCTCTGCCGAGCTCCCCCTGGAACGGTTCGCAGCCGGTGGACACCCGCCGGGGTCTGGGGCTCTCGGCCCCCATTGCAGCCTGGACTCCGGGTTGCAGAGTTCAGCTGGAAGAGGGCTCGATCGCGGACCCCGGCGCTGTCGCCGCGGGAGAACGCGCGGGCCGAGAAGGCAGCTCTGTCTCTTGGGGCGGGGAGGAATTCCGGTTCGCCGAGACTTTCCAAAAAAGGAGAAGATCCGGTAGTGGCGGCTCCGCCTCCCGGCCCTTGTTTGGGAGCCATTCCGGAAAATTAAACTTCGGAAAGAAACCGAGCGGAGCCGAGACACTACAGTCAAACCCCTCCTTCACTTTCTTGGCAGCTCAAAACCGCAAGCAAAAAAGAGACAGAGAAAAAAAAAAAAAAGAAGAAGAAGAAGAAAGAAAAAAAGAAAAAAAAAGCTAGCCGCATTCACGGAAGCTGACTGCCTTTTTCTGAATTACACTGTGGAAAGTAGTGTCTGGCGATAAGAGTGAATGCGGTCTTGCTTTTTTGGAAAGTCTGTGCTATTTATACAGGAGCGAAAACGGAACAGGTCTGGGTTGTTTATTTGTTTAAGTATTTTAGGCACCTTAAGGGTAGAGGTTAGAGTAGAGTATGGGGCCGAAGAGCTGCGGGAGCTTCGAGAGATCCTCTGCCAGAGGCACCCCCTTCCTCTGCCCGCGCGCTCCCCGCCCCCCCCTCCAGCTGCTGCACAGTGCGGGCGCCCTTCCCGGCGTGTCTGGGCGGTCCGCTGCGTGGGGGCGACCAGATGGAGGCTTGGACACTCACCCTGCCCGACGCGCGTGCACGCACACACACAAGCACACACACACACACACACGCACACAAACACACACACACACCCTCCACTTCCGCTACACTCTCCCTCCTCCGCTGCCCTGTTACACACCCACTCACACACCTTACGCTACACCACACGCCTCCCTCTTGACAGCGCGCTTGCGTGCCTGCCTAGCCAAGAGGGTCTCCAGGCGTCAGACAAGGCAGCCTGCGAAGACACTGTCCTCACCTTCACAAGCCATCCCAGTCCGCAGCCACCAAGCCCCCCTGATCCCTGTGTATACACTTTTCCGGGGGTGCATTCTACTACTCGCGCCTAAGGTCTACCCCAGGAATAGTATTCATCTCCTTTGCTTGGAACCTGCTCGGTGCTGAGAGACAACAAATGGCACAGGTTCGAGTCACGGTGACCCAACACATGTTCCCCTTGGCAAACAAACAAACAAATAATAAGCAAACCCTTCCAGTAGAAACCTTACTGTCAAATTCCCGAAAACTTTTCAGAGGGCTCTTTGGGCACTCTGCTCCCATCTCCCAATCAGCCCGCTCCAGAAACGCTCCAACTGCGCGGCCGGGTTCCCAAACCCCGGGCTTTGCGACCTGCCTAGCCTGGGATCTTGGATGCGGGCTAGGATCTTAGCGCCCTGTCCTTCTCAGATCCAAAGTCGGGCAGGGGAGGGATCGGACGCGAGCCCCACGGTTCTCTTTCTTGCCCCCCTACCCGGAGCAGCGAGGATACCCGGGCGGGCAGGAGCCACGGCGCCACGCCGTGGATGAAGAGCGGCGCTGCAGGCGCTCTCCCGCCGATCACCTGCGGTGTCCACGGCCGCAGCGCGCTCGCTCCTGCCCGGCCTGAAGCACGGTGATCAGGGGAGCCCCATGACCACCAGGAGCCCTCTCGGTGCCGCTCTCCCCGCAGCTCATTTCTCCCCATGCCAACCGCGAAAGTTGTTCTCCCGGGAATGGCCATCGCCCTGACTTCAAATGCCCAAAAGCGAATCTGGGAAAGTTTCTCGATCGCGCTGTGCGCGCTCTTCTTTCCGATTGGGGATCAAATTCAAAGGGAAAGCTCAGCGAGGGTGGAACTTCTATAGGTGTCCCACCCTCTGCAAACCCCTGCAAACCTTGTTTCGAAGCTGGGGGAAAAGGAAGAAATAGAAAGCAGCGTTCTTACCACGTGCGCCAGCCCGCTCCGCCTGCGCTCCTGCCGGTCCCGCGGCCCCCGCGCTGACCACAGGCAAGACGACGCCTCGGAAGGGAGCCCGACTCTCATCTCCAGCCTGGTCCGGGAAGAAAGGGGGGGTCGGGTTATGCAAATAGAGGTCCCGGCGGTGGGACTCGGGTTACGGTCCCCCACCAGCCCCAGAGGTGAAGCACCCACCCGCGGCAGGCGCGGGCCTGGCGACTGCTGGTGCTTCGCTGCCGTCGGTGCACGTGGGCGGGAGGATTGCAGCAGCCGCCCCTCTTACCGGCTCTGTCGCCAACCCCGCAGGCTGCCGCTGTGCTCCGCCCGGAGGGGGAGCTCCCGGGCGGCGGAGAGAGGGAGAAGGCAGCCAGCCGAGGGCAGGACGCCCAACAAGGGTAGAGCTGGAGCGCGGGATGCTGGCAGGTTGCCGCTACCAACCTTCGCGCAGGAGGTCAGTGGTGGTGAAACAGGGGGTTCGCACCATTGAGGAGTCTAGAAAGGAGGGGGCGTGGGAGCGGGGCAGCACTATGGAAGCCGAGTCTTCCAAGAACTGTCACCTCCCTTAAGAGCTTCGCTGGATCCAGCTGTTGGAGAGCTACAGCATGGGGGAGGGGGCAAGAGCTAGTAAAAGCTAGATGCTCAAGACCTGGCAGGCCAGGTTTCAGAGGGTGCCCAAGCCAGTCACTCTCTCAGCCCTTCCAGAACATCCATACAGAATGGGGCTGTGATGGCCTCTAATAGCCTTGCCTTTACTTTCTTCTTCCCTCCTCTCTTCCTCTCCTCCCAGGCCTTTTTAAAGAATGTCCCTTTAAGTACAAACCCTTAAATATGGACAGCTTAGAAAATGGAACAGAAATCAAGAGCACATATTTCAAACCAGCCACCGCCTAGACAGATGAGCTTCGAAAACCTTGAGCACTTGCCTAAAGTCACACAGCCGGTGGTGATGGGTCCCTTTCAAACCTGCTGCCTTCTCCGGGTCTTCAGAAGCCAAAGCTCTTTGCACTGATCACTGTGTGAGGAGCTCACAACTCTGTCGGAAGGTCCTAGGTCCCGCAGTTGAGTCTTGAAAGCCTGAGTCACCCCAAGAGGGGAGAACTCGCCGTCTTCATCAATTCCATCTTTCTTTGGGCATTTCAGCGGAAAGCCAAGCTGAAGTCAAGGGGGCTAAAGGCAAGAGAGGGGGCTGCTACAGATGGACCCCCATAGATAGAGGGAGAATTTAAATGTAGGGACTCTGTAGACGTGCGTGATGGAAGGAATGACCAGGCTGGCACAAAACCAGCCTATTAATGCTGCTATCTTAAGAGAATCCAACCCCACAGTATCCTTCCTGGAGGCAAGGAGGGTTAAGAGGAAGGCAGGGGTGTGAGTCTGGGCTGAGGCAAGGAAGAGGCCGGAGATGTGGGAGTGGAATACAAAGGTGAAACCAGGGTCCCTACTTTGAAGCATTTGAATTTTTAGGGTTTAGATAAAAATATAACAAACAAATGACTTTAAAAAAAAAAGTTGACAAATTGCCCATGTAAACGAGACACTCCAAAACATATCGAATCAAGAGGAGCAACTTGCTGCCAGGTTCTAATTTGCTTTGTCCAGAGTAGGAAAACTATAGGAGAAAAAATAGAGAAGCAGGGAGGCTTCTCTGCCTCGGGCTTGCTCCTGGGGTGGAGGTGAGGGGGCCTATGGGCCACTGGGAGAAGACAGCTGGCGGGTCCTAAGGAATGCCCTGTCAGAGTGGTTCTGGACTTTTCTTCCAGCCTCGCAGCTGCCACTTGCAGTGTGGTGTCAGGATGACAGCTATGCAGGAGACACATCAAATAATTTACCACATGCATTTCGATGTGCAAAGAAACATGTTTGGAAACCTTCACGTGCTCCTTCTTCTGTGACGTCATCTGCATCCCACCTCCAACTGCTGGTGGAGGGGGAGGCACGGTCATGTTAGAATCTCTCGGAACTGCAGGCACAAGCACGGACTGGATCACCAATTCAGACGGCACCGAGCCTATTGCCTTTGAAAACCAGATGATTGCCAGCTGCACAATCATCAGAAAGATCTCCTGATGGGTGGGGGGAAGCTGGGAAATACTTCCCTGCACCCAGTATCTCACTGCAAACCCGGGAGCCTATGGACTATCAACCTACCTCAGGTCACGGCCGATGCAACTGTAAAGGCCAAGCTAAGAAGTGTTACTGGCATAAATAATATGAACAGGGGAAGATCCTTAGAACTGCATTTTGTAGATGTGTCAGTGCCGGCTCGAGAAATGGATGGTCAGAATCTTCAAAAACATTTCTTGAAGATCTACCCTGTTTCCAGCACTGTAACAACAACTCCAGGGGATATAATGGGTGCCCACAGCCAGGGCTGGTTCCCAACCCCATGGGCCTTGTCTGGCACACCATGCAACCCCATCATCACAGTGAATGTGTTTGCTTTCAGTGGAGTTTCTTGGCTGAGGGCTTCACAAGTCGCAGATCCCAAGGACATGCAAGAATTGGGCAAAAGATCCGTGGGAATGATGTTTCAGAGAAGAGAGCGGGTGAAAGGCGGGAGAAAGCAAGGTACATTTACGTAGAGAAGATCCAGTCTGGGTAGACATTCTAGGTCATCTTAAGGGCCTGGCATTGAGGCCAATGGTAGCCGATACAGGTGGCTGTCTTGGGAGTACTCTAGAGCGTTTTAATCTCGACAATGCTCACCTTTCATTTTTGTTCCCTGAAAAATGGCAGTAGCATTGCAGGTTTTTGTTTGTTTGTTTGTTTTTACATTTGAGGGTTTTTTTTGCCACTCAGATTCTGCAGAAGAATAAGAACTTGCCAACGAGGTTTCATCCCAGAGAATATACAGAAACACTGACATCAGTATTGTGTCTCCGTGACAGTTGTAATGAAATACATTCCTCAGATGTCAATAAGGACATGGCAGGCAGTATGA